AGATGTAGTTCGATTCCTACGAGGGGAAAGTGCTACTTTCCTTCTCCACGGGCTCCACATCCAGTCTGGAGCCTACCTAGCTTGTCTTCCTGGGACGTGAAACTGACCTCTAATTTCAGTCAACAGCAGAGGCTCAATTTCGTGCAACTATACGTCCCCCCCCCACCTCCCCGCCCTTTGGTACTGAACGCTTTATCCACTATAAGTGGGCGCCCCGTAGACGTAAGCGTTCCAGCTCCAGAAATATGGACCCTGGACATGAGCCCCAAAAAGCAAAATGACAGTTTTCTCGGAAACGGCTCTGAAGATTTTGATCAAATTACAGTAACTTATGAAGACCATAGTACTACACAGCTGATATATTCCGGAGTACGTAGCAAGAACATGGTTAAGAGATATGGGTAAAGGTAAAAAGTAAAACTATCCCTGTAACAGGCCGTGGAGGCCCATAGGGTTGTGAGACATCGAGGCTCCCACATTTTCTAGGCAATCGGCTGATAGATGGGGGTGAGGCTGTCAGCCTTACCCTCCGGCCTCCCTTTACCCCCAGGAAATTTCTTGGTACTCATTTCTGTTAGAAGCTGAGTTGACTCCAGGGCCATAGTGCGGCTGGAAGGATTAGACCAACTGAAAAATCAAATGACCTAATCGGGAATCGAACCCCGCGACATGTGATTGGCAACATCTTGGAATACCTATGCATACATGAGAGAACAATGTGTATGGTGTGGAATGGATTCAGCTGACTCACGATACAGTCCTGCGTCGTGCTGTTGTAAACACGGTAAAAACATCTGGCTTCCGTAAAACGAGCATAATATTGTGATGAAAACTATAGAAACATTGTTATGGTGTGGACAGGATTCAACTGGCTCAGGATAGGGTCCAGTGGTTGGATGTTGTGAATAGGGTAATGAAATTTAGGGTTTCCTAAGAAGGAGGGATTTATTATGTGGCTGTCAGTTTCTCAAGATTACCCTACATTGAGCTTCGCTACTTACCAAAAAACTAAGGGTTCAGATCATTCCGCGCTTTCCTGTAAGAAGTGTCGGCTCATTGAGTAGGCAACCTTACGGAAGGAAAGTCTCCGTGTGTTCAATTATGTCTGCTATACAGTGATCTTGGTTCCAATCGTACGTTTAACACGGAATCTAGTGATTTTCTAGTGACAATAAAGGGGATATGTCGCCATCTCTTGATGACGCAAGCTTAAAGATGTTTCTGACACACTTTAATGACCTGTACAGAGAACTCAACCCTTCTTGCGCTCGCTGAAATATTAATGGTAATAGGAACCCCTGTTCTGGAGCGTGTAACAATATACCTCGTATGCAGCAGTGCTGTTTTCAGAGTACAGGGCCGTATAATATTACACGTAATAACTTGTAAACTTAACATCCCATTTTTTGTTCAATTTGGCCTCGCAGTAAATCCCTTCGCTGGTCTGCAGTACACATCGACTTCACATTCATGGTTCTGGTTTTGTTACGTGCCGCTGTGCAGACGGTTCCGAGAGGGTGCAGGGTGCATCTTGAAGTCTGAATAGTATGTTAAACAAGCAATGTGGCCGCGCCATAGCTCAAGCGGTTAGTCGCTGGCTTTCCATCGCGGCATCCCGGGCTCGATCCCGGGTCTGGTCAAGTGGAATTTGTGGTGGACAAAGTGGCGATGGGGCAGGTTTTCTCCAAGTACTTCGGTTTCCCCTGCCAATGTTTATTCCACCAATTGCTCCACAATCACCCTCACCTATCATCTGAGGCTGGTACAATAGGCCAGAATTGACCGCAGTACACGGGACTTAGTTCCACCTCACTAGCAATAAAAAAAAATAAAAAGCAATGAGTAAGCAGAGGCATAACAGTTTACTGATATTCCAAAGGAACACACTGCCTCCATCTTCAGGTCGAAGCATGCAACCAGCTAGATGCACGCAGAGTCTCAATCTGTTTGCTTCTTGCTTCTCGCTGGATTGCATATTTGGCCTGCTCTTCAAACTGAAGATGAAGGCATTACGGTCCTTCAAAATTGTTGTCTTCACCACAATATACGGAGTCGCACACCGGAGGTTCTCTGAGCTCTTTTATAAATAAGGTAAATTTTTTGGCAAATCTTTAATTAGCTTACATTGTGTTTGCCGTAAGCATCATTGGTACATTCGTACCCCTGTGAAACACCATAATATCGCTCCTTCTGTCCGTCTGTACGTATGTATCAAATAGACAACCAATTAAGAGTTGTTCACGAATCTTGATATTAAGTAAAATAAAAGTAAGGTAAAATTCTCCCTGCGCTTAAGTAATTAAGCACTACGCCATAAAGGCGTATGGGGGAGCTGATGTACAGATCCGCATTTTCTTGACCTCGGCACTAGCCGCTTTACCCCCGGGGAAAGAGCCAGCGGTACTCACTTGATAGGAGGCTGGGTGGGCCCCAGCGCCGGTCTGGACGACTTGGAGAAGAGAAAATTCTTGACACTACCGAGACTCGAACTCCGAACCCTCGGTCATCCAGCCCGTAGCCAGTCGCCATACCGTCTATGCTATCCATGTTCTCCCTTAATATTGTACTAAGTAGCTATATTAAATTCGTCGGCGCAATGCGATTTAAGTAGAAATCTAACAAAATTAAATGATGAGTTGCACGAAGATGAACATGCGTTTCTGTGCTTCTCTCAAGCGTAATTCATTAACTATTTACCGCACAAAATAATGCGAGGACAAACAGATACGTGCGTGCTACGTTCCTGTTATCTCTGTCCTTAATTCATATGTATTTAAAAGTCTCACGCTCTGCTATTCTGTCGCTAACGGCTGTCATGTCTGGCGGCAACACAGATCGTGGTAGTTGCCAACAGAAGAGGATTGTGCCACAGCTCAGGCGGTTAGTTGCCGGTTACCCACCGCGGCGGTCCAAGTTCAATACCAGGGCAGGTTATGTGGGATTTGTGCTGGACAAAGTGTCGCTGGTGCAGGTTTTCTCCGTGTACTTCGGTTTCACTTGTCAATTCTCATTCCACCAAATTCTCCATAATAATCTATCATTAGCGGCTGGTACAGTAGGCCATATAGCAGTGGCGTAGCATGACTACCGAAAGCAGGGAAGCAACTTTATATACGTGTATATAAATTTTTTCTACATACCCTATAGTTTCTATCTTGTATTTAAAAGAAAATAGCTAACAGTTTAATATGTATTCTATATTTAAGCTAATATATTAAAATAACACATAATTATCAACACAATTTTATAGCCATCAAATGACAGGGCTGTGAACCTGGAATATAATTAATGCTTAATTTATTGTTTATAATTCAGCTCGATTCTTCTGTTTTTCTTGGCAAACAGATCAATAACCTCATCTAGAAAGCTGGGTTTGGACTGCAGTTTGTTTAGGAAGGACTTTTCAATGTTCATCAAAGCCAGTGATGACAACCTATCCTGGTTCTGCGAATTTCTAGTAAGCACGCTTAACTGCAAGGTCACAGATTATTCTACTGCAAACTGTGCCTTACATCTGGCAACATTGCTGGAAGCACGAAGCTGGTAGCATACCATAACGCATAGCTCACTTACAGACAACATTGACATTGAGTCAGCCAGTTAACCCAGGGGAGGGTGGAAGCGAAAGACCTGCTGCTTCCGCGCGTGTTGCAGTTTAAATTTCCCTGCATTTTGGAAGAAAATAACTGATCTATCCTGATAAATTGTTTATGTAAGACATTAAAACTTGCAATATTCTCATTATATGTAATATATGTTCTCAGATTAATTAATATTTTGAAGTATGAAATATTTTTTGAAATTGAAAAATTGCCAGAAATGTTCTTGGTTGCTTTTCTATAGGGAAGCAATGCTTCCACCACATCCATGTACCCTACGCCCCTGCCATATAGTGATCAACGTACCAAGTGGACTCAGTCTCACACCACCCCAAGAAATAAAAAAAAAAACAATTGAAGCATAATATGATAGCAATAAATGGGTTGAAATATACGTACAAGTCGATAGTGCTTCAATCAAATGTGTCGCTCAATATTCAGACCGTATATCTCGATAGGAGTTTCGATTAGCGCGCCTAGTTAATCTGTTAAGCTCTGCAGGGGGAGCTGCTTTCGCAGAAATCTCCAATTGCATAACGCACATTCAAAGAAATTGTAATATGAAGTTCAACTTTGATGAAACTTCTATGGCATTTATGTTATGATTCAGATGAAGTATCTGTGAGGCTACGTAATACCTTGAGCAAGCAATCTTATGGAAGAAAAGCAATGCAAGAAATAAGATATTCATTCATTCATTCATTCATTCATTCATTCACTAATGGTAAAAAGGTGGAATACCAAATACTTAAGAAAATGAGAAAACCACACTAATACACCAGAAGTGAACGCACTACGCAATAGCGAAACAACACATAGATTGAAAAGATACACCGTCCTGACTTTACCAGGCAGGTCTGAGTAAAACGCCAATACAGGAATTAAAATGATGCTTAGGTGAACAAAGAAGAAGTATATGAGTTACACCACTGGACACAACTCATTCACGAGCCAGTACTTATTGAACATATGCATTTATTGCAGACTCTGCAGATTATGCGTAATAAATGTATGAGAAAAAACCATCAATGCCTCTAAAGCCCTTTGTTGCGTCCTGGCCTGTTCTTCGGTTTTGTAAACCTATACACATTAGGTAGGACTCCTTGTATGAGGGATCAGCACGTGGTAAAGTCGCTGCCTACATATGGGACAGCACAAACACAGAATAAACGTCCACAATACAGGCATCCATGCCTCGAGCGGAATTCGAACCCACGATCCCAGCATTCTAGCGGACGAAGACAGTTCGTGCCACTGCGATACGGCGGTTTTCCTTGTTACCGTGTGTGGAAATTAATGTTCTAGTAACTCTGTACTGATGACGTAACGGTGTGCATGATTATCTGAGGACGAGGCAGACTCGAAAATATTTGAGACAGCATAACAGTTGGATCTACTCACGGGTCCCATCGAAGCGGGTGGCTATCGTGTCGAGGAAGGTGTTCTGCGGAGCCAGTAGTCCCTTTCTGGCCGGCATCAGGGACGGGCCCGCGGACCACCAAGCTGGCGGCCCTGAAACAAACAGTTCAAATCAGATGTGAGGTTTACTCGATGGCGAAAGTTCATGCTCCAGGCTTCTGGGTTATGACACAGTGACGTATAGGTCATGCCTTAGGTACGGTCTCTGGATGGAGAAATATGGAAAGAAGTACCAGGCAGAGGTTGTGGCTGTGAGAGGGAGGAAGGGTGACGCATCGCAACTAAGTACATGTATTAATCTATATACTCTATATATACCTAAAATCCATTCTCTTTACCAACTCGAGTACGTTACAACGCGTGTAGGCAAACTTGCGTTTAGCGTGAGTCCTGTGTATGAATTTCCCACAGGTGTGCGATAGTAGGATGTAGTTTTCTTTCTAAGAATGGCATAACGGTCTAAGTCACTGATTGACAATGACTCAAACTCATTCTAAGAGTGGATGTATATGATCCCAATTTCAATAAGATCGCAACATGACTTCCAGTCAAGGCGATGTAGGAGTGCATCTTACGGGATTCGAGTTCCTCTCGCAAGATATAACCAGGGCTGGAAATGGCTTTTCGGAGTAATGTCGACGCTTCAGAACAGCGAGAAGAGACAGCGGAAAGGCCAACAAATATTATAGGGTCATTATTGGAACATAGTCTCGTGGATTTGTTCGTACATGAATCGATCTTGGGAACACGTAGTTATGGCATGACAAGGCACAGGAAGTGACTTCCTGAAAAAGGAGTACTCTACCAGCATCTATAATTTCCAGCCTGAATATAACACCATGTAACTGTAGTTTATTCGACAACGCTGTCAATAACTTCATCTCTATGTGGCACCCAATAATTCATGACAGTGATCAATTAAGTGGAGAGCATGTGGAAAGTCTGTCGTGGTACAATTTAAGGCAACATCTCCGTTATCTGCTGAACTGAGAGTACGGTTTCCAGCAGGGTCATACAATTTCCTGTTTCCCATAGCTAGGACCCAGACAGCCACTTACTCAGCGGCCGACTGGCCGACATCTTGTGCCCAGATTAAAACTGCGTGGAATCATACCTCCCCTCTCAGCAAATGTCCTTCTGAAGTGGTGCTTAAACCCTTAAAGGCTGAATTTCTTCTGCGTAATATATACATAATCCAGTGCGTACTTCGCAGAAAACACATTACGTCTCCACTACACAGACCAACCGGTTAATGCTGTTTAGGGAAATAATCGCTGTTTACTGTGAGAACCATACGGAACACATAAATACACTGTGTGGGCAGAATGCAGAGTTCAGTTCGTACCTCACAGGAGACACGCCACGTCTCCGCTACAAAGCCCAACCGGTTAATGCTGTTTAGGGAAATAATCGCTGTTTGATGTGAGAATCATATGAAACACACAAATACACTGTGTGGGCAATATGTAGAATTTTAAAGGGTTAATTAGGGGCAGGAACAATTCATAATGTAAACGACTAACTTCAAGCGAATTAAGTTATTTTTTAAGGAAAATCCTCCACGGTTAAATAGAAAAGTCTGCAGCAAGCGGCCCGGGGGTTCTTCACCCCTGTTGGTATGCCCATGTTTCAATTCAATACGGTAAAGTCAACTAAACTTACGGTATGATTAATTATGCTACACGCAATGACGACGTACGGAGAAGTGGAAATAACGTCTGTATATTCAGCATTCAGATGGAGGCTTTACAACCCGGCCGCTTTAACCCACAGTAAAAGAGACTTCCAGCCCATTGGATACTACGCTTAGTGGGGCAATGAACGCCGCGGAAAAGAAAAAAATATCTTGCAAGTGCCAAACATCAAACCCCGATTTCTCGGCCGTCCAGCCTGTAGCCCACCACTTCAACGACTGAGCTACCCAAGTTGCAAACTGAAGTCGGTATAACCACATCGCGATCATGATAGTGTGATTAGTGAGTGAGGAGTGGAATGAGAATTGGCAAAGTTAACCGAAGTTTTGAAAGAAACCCCGTCCCAGTGACACTCTGTCCATCTCAAGTCCCACTTGAACTGGCCTGGAATTGAACTAGGGCTTCCGTGATGGGAAGGCGCTACTAACCTCCTGAGCTATGGCATGACCAGAACGTTACATAATCATCAGTTAACTTAATCAAATATTATTAGGTTAATAATAAGGAGGAGGATGAGAAGGAAAAGGCATGTAGCACGCATGGAAGATGTCAGAACATAATATTCTGGTGCAATAAGGTGAAGGCATGAGATCAGGTGAGACGCAAACCCGCACCTAGAAATGTCAGGTTTAAACGACAATAATCAAGTAGCGTACGACAGCTCCAGATCCGGTCACGACAATGTGGAGAATATTCTTGACACTACCGGGATTCGAACTCCGACCACTCGGTCGTCGAGCACGTAGTCAGTCGCTGCACCGACTGAGCTATTCTTCCTCCCTCAGTAGTTTACATATTGACAGGATCATAAAACCAGCTCCCCAACTCCATACAAATCGGAAATGCCAATTTTCTGCTCTGTCAGCTGCTAGGGCTCAGATGGCTTTGCAGGTTGTCCATACCGTCTGATAACATCCGTAATGCACTTAGCCTTATCTTGTTTTACTGGATTACAAGGGGATGGATTTTACCACAAAATCATCTCGTTATCACACGGCCCAGAGAATTCAATTAACTTCGAGCGTCACAGACAGAGATGTTTCGCTGGAAGACGAATATTAGTCATGGCCGGAAAATGCAAACAGCGACTCCACATCAAAAAATCTGTGAAGTGTAACACTGTCCTGTAGTTAATTAAAACCAAAGAAGTGGGACAACTTCACTTTCATTATATTGTGGCGTATAGACCTGTCGCTAAGCGGTAACTCTGTAAACAACAGCTGTTGCTAGGTAACGACCGCCACATACAAGCACGCAATAATAGGACAACGGTGATGCAACCCGTTTCTAGGCAACGGATCTGCAAACACGCGTCTACACTAGAATGATTGTTGGAAACGGTGTTTTCTGCTCGGTTCATGAAAAGTGGTTATAAGAAAATAATTGGGCGATCCAGTTAGTTGAGGGTTGGCAGTTCAGTTGAGCTCTGCAAGGGAGGCTGAGAAGAGATGGCGCTATACTTGAGTTAAGTGTTCTGCAATGGCGGCTATGACAAGAGAACCCGAGAGCGTGAAGCTGAAGAATCCCAACTGTCAGAAGCTGTTGCAAGGGAACGGCTGGTTAAGACAACAGGCTGGAAAAGGCTTAGCAGGTGATATGGTGATGTATAAAGTGTGGAGATTAGCGATAATGCTGTAATTACTTGTAGTTCCGAGAGGTGTGAATAAGTGACCAATAAATATATTCACAAATCCAAATACCGTCTACAGTCAGTAAGTAAGTAAAGCAAAAATATCCCTGTAACAGGCCCCGAGGCCCATAGGTTTGTGAAATGTTGAGGTTCCTACATTTTCTAGACAATCGGCTCACTGATGGCGGCAAGGTTGTCAGCCCTAGGCGCCGGCCGCCCTTTACCTTCAAAAATATTTCAAGAATATCCCTGGTACTCATTTCTGTTAGAGGTTGAGTCGACCCCAGGGCCATAGTGCGGCTGGAAAGATTAGGTCAATTGAAACAATCCAATGACCTCATCGGGATTTGAATCGGTGACCTTCCGGCTTGTAGCAAAGCGTCTGCAGTCACACATCTAAACTGTGACAATACAAATGTGACTGTTTTGCTTGAGTAGGAAACCTGGTCTCTCACATTAAATGAATAACTTACACTGAAGGTGTTTGAGAACGTAGCGTTGAGGATATATGACACTAAGGGGCCTGGAGTAAACTGCACTTTTCAACAGATATTATGGTGAACTAGTCATAGACATACTCGTAGAAGATAGGACTAGAGGGTGATATATATGAAGGGAGGCTATTTTCAAGACCAAGCCGTAGATGTGAATTTAATATTAAACTGGATGCTACCAACTATAAGGTGGGATGCATTGAATTGGATTGATGTGGCTCAGGATACGAAGCAGTAGCTGGAATTTCTAAACTTTCTTAAAGAGACTTCGGTTTTAATAAAAAGCTGCAAGAATCTCGAGAACGTGAGCGACTATCAGCTTCTCAAGAGGAGCCCAGCCCTATGTAGTCAGTATATTGTCAGGTGTTGGGTATGTAACGCGACAAATAACTTCACGCCGTTTTTGATCTTAGCGAATTTATTGTTCACTCGCTCTTACACTTCACAATTGCTACCATCGGCCGTATCAAAAATACTTCTCCTGCTGTAGTCACCTCAACTCGTAGCTGCTGGACTTCAACTCGTACTGAATGCTAGTAACTCTCTCTCTCTCTCTGGTTCAACACTGACGAATATTCCCCGTTATGTAGCTTCCGCACTGACAACACAGAAAAAAGTTATGTAATAGCTACCACTGTTGCGTGATGTCGTGTTTACCGATTGCCTAGCAACAGTCTCTGCACGGACTCCCCTGTTGCACGACGTCACAGGCTAGCAAGGAGGGGTGTTTACCGAGCGTTGCGTAGTTACGGGATGAGTGGGATATATGACGTCACTCGCACTTCCTGTTGCGCAATCCAAGCGTTCACTGAGTTGTCGCCTAGCAACGCGCCGATACAATCCGCAACTCTCACACTGCGCGCCTTCTCCGAGACCCCTGTGGCTCAACACATAGAGCCAATACGCCAATACGTCACACAGCAACCATTTCTTTCTAGTCAGTATTTCTTTTGTACAATCGTACTATGAAGACGCGTAGGGAAGTGAAGGTAAAGTCCACGCATTCTTAACGTCGGTGCCTGATTGAGATGGAAGCCAGGATAGCTCAGTCAGTACAGTGACTAGGCTACGAGTTGGAAGACCGATAAATCATGCTTCGATTCCAGATAGAGGAAATTGTTTCTCTTTTTTACAACGTCTAAAAAGAAGAAAAACTCTTGCATCTGACGGGAATCTAAGCACGATTCCTCCGTTTTAAAACGAGTCTGGATAGCTTAGTCTGTATAGCGACGACCTATAGGCTGGATTGCTGTTGTTCAAGTCCCGGCAGGGGTAAGACATTTCTCTATTCCACAGCGTCCAGACCGCCACTGCCACCCTTCCACCCACCTCTCCAATGGGTACCAGGGTCTGTTTCCAGGGTGATTAAGCGTTCGGAACATGAAGCTGACCACTCACCTCTATCTAATGCCGAGGTCAAGAATGTTACAGCTATATCTTCAATCCCACATACACCTTCATGGCGTAGAGTTTATTTAATTAAGCACAGGAATAATTTTAGCTTTCTTCCTTACAGCGTCCAAACTGGATTCGGGGGACCTCCAGTGGGTACCTAGGGCTCTTTCTTCTTAGTTAAGACAGTCCGGGAGTGAAGCTGGCCACTCACCTCCATCTAATACCGAGGTTAAAGATGCGTGGAGCTATGCTTCAACTCCCCCATCCGTCTTTATGTCGTAGTGCTTAATTAACAATGGTGAAAATGTAATATTTCTCTTCACGGAAGCGAGTGGATAGTTATATGTTCTTGTCACTTTACCCAGGGGGAAACACCTGCTTTCCTGTAGCCACTATATAGGGGACTGGGTGCCCCCGGGGTCGATCTAGTCACTGTGCAGAAGAGACAAACATCCTGCCACTTTTGCGAATGGGATCCTGGATCATGAATTGTCAGCCCGTAGCCCTGTGTCTATGCCAGTTCACACTTCCATTTCAGCCGACAGGAGACATCACACTGGGACGGGAGAGCCAGACCACTTGCAGCATCCGAAGGGCCCCCGTATCGATCGCTACAGCCCGCCCGCCGTATCTTACGTCGTGCACGTGTGGGGTGAACAAACCGCCACGATTGATCAGCGTTATCGTACAACAAGGTCTCGCGTCGCCTCTGTGGGACCCGTGACTTGGCCAACTCGTATCGGTACGCGTTAGGTTCTCCTGATGCATTCAACCAATCCTCTGGCCCATTTACCACCTGCTCTAACAGAGAAAGTTCTGCATCGTGCGCTACGGAAACCAACAGGTTAATTCTGTTTACCGAAATAATCGTCGTTTATTGTGCGAGACAAGAAACACACGAATAAAATAATTAACAAACTCCATGGAGCAGAGTCCTTCTTGAGACGCCGCCAGTCGCTCAGCTACTCAAGAAACTCCCCAACACTTTATGGAACCCGAAGAGTAATTACAGTGTTTGCAAAAGCCCTCTACTGGTCCCAATCCTGAGCCAGATCAATCCAGTTCGTACCAACCATCCTACTCCTCTAAGATAAATTTTAGCATAGTTTCATTTTTTAAAAAAAGAAGGCTAAACGCTACAAAGCCGGTCACGGTAGCCGAGCGGTCTATGGCATGTAATGTCTTCGCTCGCTTGGAAACTGGGATCGTGGACTCGAATCCCACTCAGGGCATGGATGTTTAGTTTGTGTGTGCGCGTTTTTCTGTGTTTGTGTACAGGTAGAGGCCTTGCGATGAACTGATCACCCGCTCAAGGAGTCCTACCGAATGTGTAAGATCT